TGTACCAATCCCTACTCCTCTGTAGTATATGTGTAACCTTAGAGAAATCATTTTACCTCTCTATCTCAGTTTCTCCATTCATGAAAAAATATGCTTATCAAAAATTACAGCTTATATCTGTGGTATCTGAAGGTTTCCAAAGTACCTTACATACGTTATATCTTGCAACGACCCTATAAAGTACGAAGTGGAAGTATCCTCATTTTACTGATGAGGGGACTGATTCTCAGAGAGGGTAAGTTAACTACACAAGGTCATAAAGTTAACAACTATCCAAGCTGGGATTTAAATTCTGGTCTTCAGTCTCCAACTGCAGTACTCAATCCACTAAACAATAAATATTTCTCTCTCACCCTTGGGGGAGCTTATCATGATTCTCCCCACATCAGGAAGGTGGTATTAACAGTAAAAATCTACCCCAGCTTTCTTTTTCCTATTCCCTGTTCTGTCTTCTTTCTCCATCTTTAACATAGACAGTGAGGTTTATTGTAGCAGTGGTTATATTTTGTCAGTTTCTATAAAGTGCGAATGCCACAGGGCCTTTCAGACACTGCCTGCTCTATGGGCGCAGTGATTGTACCTTTAAAAATGTTTCCTATAAATCTTTCCCATCATCTCTATTTTGTTACGATTAAATTGAAAAGGGAATTTTCCACTGGTCATTCTCTTCCTCTATTTTTTTAAATGAAAATTCTGAATTCCTCTGCTTTACTGATTTTCTCTTAAAGTTTACAACATCGTTTTATTTTCTTTTTTGTTCTTTTACTTTGTCAAGCCCACGTATTATTTCCTGGAGGTTTACTCTGGAAATCTCAGATTGTTGGTTCATTTAATGTCACTTCACTTTACTCTTCATGCCACTTTTAAGGATCAGCAAGAACATACTATGTGAATCTAACACTAAGCCAGTTGAGTGCACTTACTTTGACAGCCAGATATCAAATTGAAGATATAATAAAGTAAGAGCTCTTCTAGTTAGTAAGCAATCTTTCTCTCTATTCTACCTCATGAAAAATAGCAATTGGGCATCAACTATACAGCTGAAGCACAAAAGGACATGAAATTAACTTTGTATGAATAAAAATAATAGCACTTAGCATTCTGTATAATAATAAAAGTATGTATAGAATAATTTTACATATATATTTATATTTGTGTCTAATGAATGGTAGCCATCTCTAGGGCAGAAGGGAGGAGGAAAGAAAAAAGGGGGGGAAGTAATTTACATGATAACTTTGTTGTATATTTGGACAGAATAGTTGTACATGGCAGATGTGTAGTTTCATGTGCAATCATCTTTTTTTTTACTGTACTATATTATGGACGTGCTTGTTTTGTTCTGTGAATTGAAAATAAAATTAATTATTAAAAGAAAAAAAAGAAAAATAAATAAATAATGAAGCACTTTAAAAAATTCTAAATCGTTCCTCTATTAATTTTCCTTGGTAATATCTCAGGTGACTACAATACCATTTTGTACCCAAAAGAAGCAGTAGTGGACTAAATAAATGGTAGTGAGTCACCATGCTTTCCAAATGAGGTTAAAAAAAAAAAAACTACATGCCAGAACCTAGCAGTTACAGTTGTACATCAGAGACAGAGAAATATACTAAAGGATAACATAATAAGCCAATGGAATGAATATTTTGATAGTAACCCCAAATTATTTGTTACTCTCATCATGATCTCCAGTTCTTTTGAGTCTTCCTATTTCCCCAGGCCATTAATTCTGTTTTGGCTTCTTGACAGTGTGGACCATATGGTTAGTAATTTCCATTATGCAATTACAAGAAATCTAGAATCTCTTATTCTCTCTGACCTTCTACCATGCTACTCCTTGTCCATCACCAACCCTAAGTAAATGACACAGCTTACTTTCTCTGTTACCAGTCCCAGGTCACCAAGGCCAAGAAACAGTCATGTAAACTTAACAATTGGCTCCACTATAAATCTGAACTAGGTCCAGTTGAGTCATCAACACCGCATGGAGAGCTTTCTATTCATAGATCACAGGTTTGTAAAATTTAGAACTGGAACAGACTTTACTTGGATTTCTAGTCCAATTTTCTCATTTTATAGAAGACATTGAGACCAAGACAGATTAAATGATTTGCTTAAGTCCACAAAGAATGCAAATTGTAAATTAGGGACTTGAACACAGGTCTTCCGACCCCAAATCCATTGTTCTTTCCACTACATCATGTCTCTAAGCTATTCTAGTTAACTTTTATAATTTTCCCCACAAAAACAATTAAAAAATGTTTCCCACTCTACTAAAACTCCCATTTCACAGTAAATGAACTACTATTTTATTGAAAAGGTTAAATCTGCCTAATGTAAATTTCTTTAACTTCCCTTCTCTATATCTTCCTCTATCTTCTCTTCTTTGCCTAAACTGAGAGAGAGAGAAGGAGAAAGAGACAGAGACACAGAGAGACAGAGAGAGACAGAGAGAGACAGAGAAAGACAGAGATTCGTCCTTTTTGGTTCCATCCCCTCACAATTCCTCTAGGACCTTCCACTTCTCATCATATTTTCAGTTATATTTTCCAATTCTTCCTCTCCACTGACTCCTTTCTTTCCACTTAAGAAATGATTTGTTCTCCTATCATTAAAAAAGCACCTTTGACCCTCAAGCTACAGGATTCTCTTCTCTCCCTTTCATCATCAAACTGCTCTTGTCTAGTCAGTCAACAAGAATTTATTAATCACTATGTGCCAAGTACTGTACCAAGCACTGGAGGATATAAACACAAGCAAAAAGGATAGTCACTGCTCTCAAGGAGTTTACAGAGAGCTTTATGTCAATGACTTCCTCACCTACCAGTCCTCAACTCCTTTCTTTCTCATCATTCCAAACTAAACTAAAAATTTCCTCCTCACAACCTGTGAAAGGTTTCCAAAATATGAATTTTGCACCAAAGATTAAGCAATTTTAGCTGTTTCCATGGTCTACAACATGAAGAATACTAATGAGGTAACAATTCAATGAACTAACAGCTAAGTAAATTAATTTATAATGCCTAATTCAGCACCCCCTACTCCATTATCCACCACACTCAGGCAGAAGGACTGCATAAACTAACCTATGAACTTGCAACAGAACTCGTCTATTCCCATTTTCTCAGTGTTGTAGAAATCCAGATAGAAGAAGTGTGTTCAGGCGGAACGGCAGCATGGCAGCATTCCGTGCTACAACAGAACTCAATCAGAGAACCAAGGAACAAAGGGAACTGGGGCAGAACATGTATGTTGCTGTATGGCACTCCACTAAGGCTGAGGGAAAGAGCCTTACATCAAGTTGGAGTGAATTTTGTCCTCTTGGAAGTCACTTGGGGCAGAGACAGAGGCCTGTGAAATGTGAATTTCCAAATGAAGGAGGCCAAGAGACTTTGAGGTCCAGCCCTAGGGGAAAATGGCATCAAAGGAGAAAGTAAGAAAATGAGGGATAGTGATAACTGATAAAATTACCAAAGGTCTGAGAAGGAAGAAAACTCAATGACCTTGAGCATAAGCAAATAAACCAGCAGGGAAGGTTTTAATAATAGAAGAGATTATGGGCTCCATATCAAAAAAAGAATCCAGATATTTATAAACAGCCATTGTAAGACAAAGATGTGCTGCTGATGTGCTAACAATGATGCATTAATCATAAGAGAAATACAACAACTCCAGGGTTTCACCTCACACCCTGCATACTGGCAAAGATGCCAAATGGTAGGAATAGTCAATGTTGGGAGAGTTGTGAGAAGACAGGCACACTAGTGCATTGTTAGTGGAGCTATGAATCAGTACAACCATTTTGGAAAGTAACTTGGAGTCATGCAAATAAAGCAACCAAAATGTCCATAACCTTGGAACTAAAGATTTCATTACTAAGCTTATACTCCAGGGAGGACATTAATAAGAACAAAGTCCTCATAATGAGCAAAATATTTTTAGCAGCTCTTTTTGTAGCAGCAAAGAATTGGAAGCAAAGTAGATACCCATTGATTGGGGAACGGCTAAACATATTGTGGTACATGAATGCAATGGAATATTACTATGCTGTAGTAAATGACATATATCTGTAGGAAATGACATATGATGAATACAGAGAAACAATGAAAGATTTATATTAATTGCTCAAGAATAAAATAAGCAGAGCCAAGAAAACAATATATATGAGGACTACAACAAAGTAAACCAAAAAAAACTATGCACACAAAAAAATTTTAAAAAGACATGTTGCACAATTATAAAGAACAGCATGGCTTGCAAGAAGATGTTTGAGAAGATACTGCCAGTCCACCCCTTGGCAGAAGTGGAAGGTCCACAAGTGTACACTTCACACGTTTTTGGACTTTTTGATATATTGCTTAGTTATACTAATTTTTCCCTTCTCTTTTTTCTTTTGTCTTTCAAAAATATCATATTCAATAATATTCAAATATATACTATATAATATATAGTATATAATATATACTAAATTCAATAGTATTAAAAATATTATACGAGATGACTCTGGAAATGGGAAAAGGCAGGTATAATGGAAAAAATTCTGATGATGTAAAAAAAAGATATCAATAAAAACATTTTTTAAACTGCATTAGAAATGCAGTTTATTGGTTACACTGCATTGGAAAGAAGGTAAACCTAGAGAAGGGAGCATATATATATGTGTGTGTGTGTGTGTGTGTGTGTGTGTGTATATATATATAATATATATATATATATATATATATATATATATATCTCCTGTAATGTCACTTTCTCTGAAGATTTTCATCAGTCTGTTGAGTATAAATATATTTTGCCTAACAAAAGATGAATACAAAACAATGGTATGGTCCTGCAATAGCAATGTGAGGAGGCTAGAGCTCAGAGTGATCTAAAACTTAGAAGGAAAACTAAGGACAACAAAAAGGGCTTTTTCAGTTATGTAGGTGAAAAGAATAGAATTTAAATAGAATAGAATCTGAAACAAAATAGGGATTTGAAACTATTAGGGATTTTCTTACCACTGATGATACTGCCTTGCTATAGTTCTGGATGAAGTGGCTGAGTTCTTTCTTCCTTCTTCCATGGCAGACCTAAAAAAGGGAAAATGTTATCTCCATTTAAAAAAAAAAAAAGATAATAGTCTTCAAACTCAGGTCAGGGAGCCTAGTGTCAATTCCTGACAAAATTCTAGGACTTATTCTGAAAGAGATAGATAGTGAACATGTAGGAAAAAAGCAGTAATCACAAAGAGCCAGCATAATAACTTCATTAAGAAAAAAATCACGCTGCACTAAATTTCCTATTTTGGCAGGGTCATTAGACTAGTAGATCAAGGGAATGATGAATGTAGGTAACAACAGCTCACCTAGATTTTAGCAAAAAGCTTGACAAAGTTTTTTGAGAAATAACTATGGATATGAATGTAATGGTAAAAAAAAATATGATCTAGACAATATTATAGTTAATTTAATTCAAAATTTATTAAATAACTGAACTCAAAGGTCATTGTTATTGGGGATCTGTGCCTGACCTTATGAAGTTTTAACATTTTTTATCAATGACTTGGATAAATATATAAGGATTTTTGGCAAAGATACAAAAGGATGCTAAATTTAGCAGTAACTACTAAAACCAAATGGATACACAAGCAAACTCTTCCATACAGTCCAGGGCCGCACAAGAAAACAGCAAGAAGTTTGCAGGCACGTTGGTTAGGAGTTCTTCAGGAAGGCCTGAAATTCAGCACAATCTCCTGTAAAAGAAGCTTGATGTCAGCAGGATCTCAGTCTTGGCCTGTCAGAGCTGCAGCAGAAGACAAAACCATCTCCTGGTTGGTGAGACAGAAATAGAGAAGTGGTACCCACACAGTCTAAGCCAGGGACCTCTGGAAAGCCTGAAACAAGCACTATCCCTAAAAATATGGTTGGAGTCCGGGTAGCTGAGCACAAGACCAAAGCACAAAAATAAGTGATTGTATAAGGAGAGAAGATGGGATAAATGAAACCCAACAATCCATACTGAAACCTTCCCGAAAGCACAAAGCCAGTGTAATATCAAAATTAAAGACATTCTGTTAGCGATTGTAAGAACTCTAACAGCAAGAGACTAAACTACCTCCAAGTTTGTAACTTTGTACAAGTAGAAAATAATGGAGACAGGTCAGTACACATGTGAGGTCACCAAGACATAGTATCAGAAGACAGAGTCCAAAGTCAATGCTTGAGGGGAAGAGAAGAAAAGAAATTGGAACCCATCTACTTGCATCCAGGACTATAGCAAGGTAGTATCAGCAGCATCCAGATTGCAGCTGAAACAGGACCAGGAGCTAGCAGGAAGGGACAAAGTCTGGTCCTGGTTCAAAATCCTAATCCAGAAACTAATGCTGAAGATAAGAGTAAATTTAAATTAAAAAAAAAAATCCTCCCAACAATGAATAAATCCTATTCGTTAAGAAAAGCCTAAGAGGTAAACCCAGAAGAATATAATTCCAAAATAAATACAAGTAGAGTCTCAGAAAAAAGATCTGGTCATAATGACTACAAGATTGGGTGGAAGAAATGAAACAAGACATAAAAAGTGAAATTACAGGCATGGAGAAAAAACAATCAGGACAGTAAACAGCTTAAAACAGAAGATGAAATATATGTAGAACCCATAAAAAGCAACTGGAACTACATGGTTTAGGAGACAACAAGAACTATTAGAGCAAAGTCAAATACTGAAAAATTAGAACATATGAAGTTTCTCCCAGCAAAATCAAATGCCATTGAAAATAAGCTGAGGGGGGATAATTCAAGATAAAGACACAGATGACAGCTCATCATATCTTCAAATGACACAAAAGGAGAAAAATTAGAATTTATCTTTTAGATGACAGAATGAGTATCTGAAAAGCTCTTGACAGGTCAGGCCAGTAGGCCAAAAGTAATAAGAAAAAAATGTAATAAAGATAAATGCAAAGTCTTACATTTATGTTGAAAAAAATTAATTTCACAAGTACAAAATGGAGGTGTGACCTTTCATCTGAAAACAAATCTGAGGATTTTAGTAGACTGCAAGCTAAAAATGAATGAACTGTATAATATAGAATCCCAAAGAATGAATTCCAACTTAAGTTGTAATAAGAGAAGAGGAGTATTCAGAACTACAGAAGAAATAGTTCCATCCTTCTATACCCTGATCAGACCACAGATAGAGCATTATGTTCAATTCTAGGGGCCATATTTTAGGAAAGACATTCATAAGCTGAGGAATATCCAGAGAGAAGGGCAACTAGATGATGCAGTGGATAGAGTGCTGGGCCTGGAGTCAGGAAAACTTGAGTTCTATTCTGGCTGCAGAGACTTACTAGCTGTGTGACCCTGGGCAAGTTACTTAATCCTATTTGCCTCAGTTTCCTCATTTGTATAATGAGCTGGAGAAGGAAATGGCAAATCATTCCAGTATCTTTGCCAACAAAAAAATAAAACACATGAAGAGTCAGATACAACTTACTGACTAAAACAAGGACATCTAGAGAGATGATCAGAATAGTGAATGGTTTCAAGATCATGCCACACAAAAATCAGTTGATGAAATTGAGGATTTTCAGCCTGGAGAAGAAAAAACTTAAGGTGGTGGATAATAGCTTGACCTTCAAGTATCTGAAGGGTCATCACATGGAAAAGAGATTAGATTTATTCTGCTTATTCTCAGAGAGACAGAGCTAGGAGCAATGAGTGGAAGTTTCAAACAGGCATGTTGTAGGTTTGATATAAGAAAAAGTTTCTAACAAGTAAGGCTACCCAAAGGTAGAATGATGAAAGGTAGTATGATTTTGAGCAAAAAGTGGAAGATCACATGTCATATACATTGTAGACAGGATTTTTGTTCAGTGATGATCTCTGAGGCTATCATGATACAGTGGAAAGAACAATGGACTTGGAATCAGTGTCTAATTTTAAATCCCAACTCTGCTACTCCTTACTTTTGTGAACACAAGCAAGTCACTTAACCTCTGGTTCTTAGTTTCAACATCTCTAAAATGGAGAGATTGGCCTAAATGGTCTTTATGGTACTTTCCAGATCTTATTTGATGATCTTCTGATGTCCTTCCTAATTCTGAGACTCCATAATTCTGTAATGGCTGCTCATTCAAAGGTCTTTATTTTGTTTCTCCTTTAAATATTTTTTTCTGTAATGCTACAAACTGTCGGTCAACAGGCGTTACTAAGTGCCTGGTATACATCAGGCACTATGCTAAGCACTGGGTAAAAAATAAAAAAGTAAAAGGCAGTCCCTGTTGTCCAGGAGCCTATGGTCTAAAGGGGGAGACAATATACAAATAACTATATACAAACATGACATATATAAAATATTATATTGTAAATATCAAGAGATAATTACATTGGAGATAATCAAAAGAGGGAAGGCACTAACAAAAAAAGAGGATCAGGAAATTCTTCTTGTGGAAGGTAGGATTGTAGTAGGAAGCTAGGGAAAATAGGAGGGAAAGTTGTAGAGGAAAAGCTCCAAGTATAGGAGACAGCAAATTAAAATGCCCAGAATCAGGAGATGACACGTCTTTTGTGAGGAATAATAAAGAGGCCAGTGTCACTGCACTGCAGAGTATGAGGGTAGTGGTAAAAGAAGAAAGACATAAGTAAGAAAATTGAAGAGGTAGATAGGGGCCAGGTTGTGGAACCGCTTGTCTACAAGTGGGAAGTAAGTCTCAGTAAACTGGAGAGTATCATACATACTCTCAGGTTTCCTGGCTGGGGTTCAAGGGAAGTAAGTCACTCCTCCAAACTATACTATGTCTTTCATGTCATGAAAATCTCTTGAACAAGGGTTTGGTAACCCTGAGAAAAATCAAAAGGTTATGTTTAAAGTATTTGTTTCTCTAACTTCTTCCATGTAATTCCATAAGTTCAGAAATAGTTCTATAAATCTGTTAAGATTTTGGAAAATAAGAATATTTCTCATGGTTCCCCAATTCTGCATATGTTGTCAAGGTCAATCAGTGATTTCTTTAAGTGACTCGCCACTTTTATTTCAGGCCTGCTGGGCTCCAGTTCAACTTTTTAGAAAGTGTCAACATGTCAGGAGGTGGTTCCTTGCTCTGTTCTCCATAAAAATGGTGTTAATAGGCTCCAATAGGGGGTACTTAGTAAAGAAAACAGAGACTTCAAGGCTTTATTGGCTTGCTGATATCTTATAGAAGGATCTAAAGTGGTATGAGCTCTAGATCTGGAGAAAGGCTACATTTGTGAACAGAGTAAAGAAGGTACTAATGGAAATGTTTTCATAGTCTCATTCAGATGTGTGACCTTGTAAAACCTGATTAACTACTATCGTATTTTCCTCTCTCTTGCTGGCAACTGGTTTGCTATGTGGCATCTTGAAATTGCAAAATGAGTGTCATCAGAAGTATGAGGGCTGGAAGCAGTTTTCAGAGTTTGCCTTATGTTATTCCAGCTCCCTTTCCATAGATTTTATTTCATAGATGAGATGATACCAAACTAAAAATCAAAGGTTTATTTGGGTTTTATAATAGCATTGTCTTGGCCATTCCTGTCGCTATTATCCCAGATTTTTTTCCCAAACATTTTGATGACAAAGGTAATAAGATACTTTTTCTTTTTCCTAGTCTTTCTACCTCACAGGATAACACTGCAGATTATGCCTGGCCTTCATTAACAATTAACTCTAAAGGGCACAACTACTGCATTAGTGCAGCTATAATACAGCTGAGTTAGCTGTGGGGGTAGAACATGACTGTTTAGAGAACAGCATTATCAAATATTCGATGGAATTATCTACTACTTTCCAATGGATCCCTAGTTGCCCTAAATTTCAGTAAAATTTCTCTCTCTCCTATATATACATGTATATGTATATATATATATATATATATATATATATATATATATATATATATATATGCATATAGGTACATGCACACGCTCTCGAGCGCACACACACACACACACACACACACACACACACCCTTTTAGTTTGCCCATGCTCTCTAGCCTTACACCTCATATTCAATTGTTAGATTTAATATTGAACTAAACTTTTGACCAACATTCTGAATGTTTACTTGGGA